TTTTGCTGAAAATTCAGGTTTGTAAAATCCTCAATATAGAATTCTTCTTCTTGAAATTGCAGATATAATCGTCAGACACATAAACCATCAAATGAGATTCCATCTTTCATGTCCTTTTCTCTGATTGATTACTAGTCGCTATGCTGTCCGCTCTCATGGTCGTCAATGCCATCTTCGCCTACCCATTTCGTTTTCGGTCCGCGCGACTCCGGCTTGCGATACCGTGACGCTGTTTGATATTTATTTCTTCATCGATTGACCGCAGCCGGATTAAGTTCAGGCGTGTGCATTTTGGCGATTGGTGAGTGTTCATCAACGAATTCTAATCCGATTAAATCTAAGGTCTCTCACTGATTACCTCACCAACTCAGGCTTCTAATGAGCCATAGCGAAAACATGTCCCCCGGGCTGCCACTGAGAACTGTTATTACGAAAGCAGATGTGACCTCAGTTGGTGTGGTACTATTGCGAAGACGATCACCATAATATTGGCCGCAATCCCAGCATCGTTTCATTCCTGGAAAAAGCAGAATCAAGACGATGACAGCTTTGACCCTCAAGTCGGCACGCGCCAGCATTCCCTGGAGAGTACATGCCTCACTACATGCACCACTTCTAACTATGAGCTCCGCATAGGCCCAACTGCCTCTACCCAAACCTCGGTATGTGTAAGCCACCGAAGCCTGGTTTCGTCCGTGGATCTGCGTTTTCCGCAGGCACGATTTCCAAGACGCATCAGGAGTTTTTAGGCTCCTCTCTCGCTGCACAGACATGGTCGGCTAGCAGGAACAAACAGGTGCGCGCGACAGCCTTCTAAGAAACTCCACTTATTCGGAAGGACGTGTCGCATAGACTACTGCTGTTTCACCGTAACCTAAATTAACCCCACCTCGATCGTTGTCCCGCCAACTGAATCTCCAGCCGCGCCGTGCCTGGAAGGTGCTGCCTGCATTCTCTATTTTACTCTGTGCCATGCCCATTTACCGAACACGTACTTGGCATGATATTCAAAGGTGACTCTTAAACTCTGCGTCGTATCATTCTAGTTCACACCGGATGGCGTACCTCTACCGGCCTGGATGGAAAAGGACTCTTAGCAAGCCTTCATAAATACAAATGAACGTCAACTACTTGATGTCTGTCTGGTTATATCCACATCAGAATAAACTGAAGACGTCACCGCGTCAACAGCGACATAGCACACAGCAGGGAAATCCAGCTTGCAAACTACCTAGGTTAGAAACTAGCTGTGGGGGGGGGCGGAGGGTTAATTCTGATCCCTTCCAGCAACCAATATAACCAATATATAAGGAAGGAGAAGAAACTCTGTGGGCATTCATCAAAATAATTTAATACTTATTAGCGTACTTTGGTTTGGGTATCACAGGTATCTTGGGCGGCGATGCTGTCATGGGAGACTCGTGTGTATGTTACCGTCTGCTCCTAGCCTCTGCTCTGACCATCCTATTCAGTTTCCTGATACAGGTGTCAAAGCGGATAAGAGGGTCTGGTGCCGGGGACGGGAGCGATGAGCCCTTCAGCGAGAGGTCCTCGGGCAGATCCCTCACCTCCTCTTCTGTCGCCGACTCCTTCGGGTTCGCTTCCAGACAGGCTGCCAGTGTCTCGATGTAGGAAGCTGCAATACGCAGGACTGCCAATTTAGACAGGCGCGTCGACGAGCCTGCAGTGGGCACAGACCGACGCAGTGTCTCAAACGCCGCCCCAATCGTATGCACACGTTGTCTTTCTCGTGCATTGGCTTTCACTCGTTGAAACTGATGTCGTCGGTGGCCTCCGGAGTAGGGTGAGTCCTCTGTGCCGGACTTCTCGCCAAGGGGACTGCTACTGGCGCTGCTACTTGTGGTAGTGGAACCCTCACAGCACCACAGGAAATGGCTGTTGTTACCGCTAAAGTTCCCCATCTCTGCCGGTAGGGCGGCCGTGGGTTTGTTCTTTCCTGGTGAGCCGTCCTCATTCAGTATA